TGCTCCTGCCCCGGGGGATGCACCCAGCCCCTGCCCTCGCCCTGCCCTGGGAATACTGCTTGGCCCTGCCCCTGGGGATGCTGTCCCTGCCCCGAGGATGCTGCCTGCCCTTGTCCCTGCCCCTGCCCTTGCCCCTGCCCTGGGGATGTTCCCAGGCCCTGCCCAGGGATGCTGCTTGCCCTTGCTCCTGCCCCAGCCCCAGCCCTGCCCTGCCCTGGGAATGCTTCTTGCCCCTGCCCCAGGGGATGCTGTGCCTGCCCTTACTGCTGCCCCATCCCCTGTCCCTGTCCCCCTCCATGCCCCTGCCTTGGGGATGCTCACAGTCCCTGCCTAGGTATGCTGCCTGCCCCAGCCCCTGTGCCTGCCCTTGCTCCTGCCCAGGGATACTGCCTTCCCTTGCTCCTGCCCCAGCCCCTGCCCCAGCCCTGCCCTGGGAATGCTGCTTCCTCTGCCCAGAGATGCCTCCCCAGCCTGGGGATGCTGCCTGCCCTTACTCCTTCTCCTGCCCCTGTTCCTGCCCCATCCCTGGTCCCTGCCCCCTGCTCCTGCCCTGGGGATGCTCCCAGGCCCTGCCCAGGGATGCTGCTTGCCCTTGCTCCTGCCCCCAGCCCCTGCTCCAGTCCCTTCCCAGGGATGCTCCCTGCTCCTGCTCCTGTCCCTGCCTGGGGTGCTGCCTGTCCCTGCCCCTGCCCAGGGATGCTCTCTGTCCTGGCCCTGGAGGGTGAGGGGCCCCACCAGGGGTATGCCCACACACCCTGCATGGTGCTGGGCTATGGGAAGTGCTGGGGCTGTGCGTGACATGGGCGTGCAGTGTTGTGATCCCCGTGCACTGTGCCAGGGCCATGTGTGCACAGGGTTTGCCCACCAGGCTCGTGCCTGCTCTGCAGCAGGACCCACTGCTTCAACAGACGCAGCCACTCAAGCCCTGCTTGGGCCTGGGGCCACCCAAGAGCTTCCTGGCTTTGAAGCCCCCGCACCCCCTGCCAAGTGGGGGTGTCCAGGGAGCAGCGCTTGGGACTGGGCAGGGCTTCACTCTGCCCCTGGCACTGCAGTGGGGTCTGATGCCCCACTGGGTTTAGAGGCATCAGTTCACCCCCCCGTGTCGTTTCCAGGCTCCTGAACAATGAAGGGTCCTTGCTGGCCTACTCTGGCTACGGGGACACCGATGCCAGGGTCACCGCGGCCATTGCCAGCAACATCTGGGTGGCCTACGACAAGAATGGGCACCAGGCGTTCAATGAGGACAACCTCAAATTCATCCTCATGGACTGCATGGTACGTGGGGCTGGGGGCTGCCCTCCCCTCCCTGGGGTGCTGGGAGTCCCCCCGGGACCCTGCCCATGGTCCGGGCCAAGCTGGGGTGTGACAGATGCTGTTTCTCCCTGGGCAGGAGGGGCGAGTGGCCATCACACGGGTGGCAAACCTGCTGCTCTGCATGTATGCCAAGGAAACAGTGGGATTTGGGATGCTGAAGGCCAAGGTAATGGTGGTGGGGAGGAAGTCTGGGGGGCTGCAGGGCCGAGTCCCTGCTGTGGTGTGGGAAGGAGCTGTTGAGGATGGGAATGGGAGGATTGGAGGAAGCTGCCATGCCTGGGATGCCTCTTTCCTCCTTGCAGAGGCTCCTCTGTCGCCCATGCCCACCCAGGCACCACACCACACCTTTTTAAGGCTCTAAACTGAAGTATAAATTACAATAAGCACGTGGGCAGTGGGCACAAAGGTGGCAAAACCCCTGCGGGCACGGCTCACACTGCTCTCTGCTTGCAGGCGCAGGCGCTGGTGCAGTACCTGGAGGAGCCACTCACACAGGTGGCCGCATCCTGAGCAGGGCAGCAGAGGGCTCTGAGGTGCTGCCAGGCTTCGACACCATCACTGGCGTGGGTGGAGGGTGAGCGGCCCCATGAGCATCCCAGAGCTCTGATGTGGCCTTAAAAATAAGGTGGGGGGAGCACAAAAGCTGGGGGTAATAAAAATGTGTCTGATGCTTGTGTCTGTTGTGAATAAAAGGGGGAGCTGGGAGGGTAAAGCATCCCGGTGGGATCCCCAGGCCAGGGGGGCCTGGGCGGTGTTTTGGGGCTCCTGTTGCTCTGCAATGAACAGAGACCCAAGAGAAAAAGCAGGGCTGGTGTCTAGGGGGATAGGTACAAGAAAGTCGAGCCCCCCG